GGAAATTGTATTTTTTTTCCGTAACCGCATAGTTCATTTCTATCGGAGTGTTTTCAAAAACTATAAAAAAATAGTGATTCTTGGTTTAAATATGTAATTTTGTCCAAATTTGAATTTAAAATGACGTTCGTATTAAGTCGACTCTTAGACTTAGAGGTCTGCAAGTGGTATGGTTGCAGTCGGGGGTATTGAGCACATTTATACCGGTACAGTATTTCCACTTTGAACAGTCTCCAAAAATACAATTCGTGTACCAACTTTTATAAGTAGCATATCTATCGATTGGTATACACGTCGGCTACTCGGTGTAACAGTCACATAGTTAACAACTAAGAATTACGATGACCATGACATAAAGTTCAAAAAATGAGTTTTGAATTTAAACCCAGCGGTAAATACCACACTCGCCTGCCGGACGGCCGTCTTAGACACTTTATTTACAGATTTACTACGAACGTCGAAATTCGACTACATATTTTTAATATAATTCCCAAGTGTCTACGACACTACTGTACCGGCATAAATTTGCTCAAACCCCCCCCCACAACCATTTGTAACAATTCTGTTTTGCCGTTAATCGTAACTGCAATGTCACTGTGATAAATATCAAGAATCATGTGTGATTCGATAATTAAATAAATAAATATTACTTTCCACCACTAGCCTACCTATGCTAAACTATAACTTTGAAAAATTATTAAAAAAAAACCGACGTAGGTAAAGCAACCCCTTGTATATTACAAAACTCCACCGATAATAGCATAATATTGACACAAAAAAAAAAAAAAAAAAAAACAAGTGGCACTCGGGGACTGCCGCTATAAAGCTATTGTCTATTAAATAAATAAGAAGTTAATATAATTTGTAATTTTTTTATTCTAATTATTCTAAGTTATGCTTGGTCAAAAATACGGTTCACCGCGCGGAACAGAGAAAAAAAAAAAAAACATACACCATTGTAATTATAGTATAATTCATCAATGATTCAACAATACTATAAATAGTACGGACACCTTGGGGGTGGCCTGAATGGTGTCGGGGGTGGCAGAGGTGGTGGCGAGGGCGGTGGCGGCGGAGAGGGAGGAAGAGGCGGCTGCGGGAGCGGAGGACATTCCCATCAAGGCGTGCGGAGCTTTGGGCGCCGAATTGGCTGGCCATCTATAGTCCGACATCGGGAGCGTCGGGAAGAACGCTTCGGGAGCATCGTCTTCCACTTGGACGAGGTCGTCCGCGAAAGGATGTGGTGCTACTGTGACGCCGGGAAGGTCCCACGACCCGCCATACACCTTCATCCTTAACATGACCGTGAGTCTGAAACGGAAACAAAAATGATATTAATCGAAATGGTCGACCGACTCATTAGGGTTTTACACAACTCACTTGTGGGCGATGCTCCGGTAGTTTCTGTCATCCCAATACGCCCCGAGCGTCTGCTTGATGGCCGACATCGGGACGACCGAATACAATTTTCTCGACGCAGCCGTGATTTTTTGAACTATGGATTTCAAGTGGACCTTCTTCGGCTTCCTCGGAGACTCTGGATGTTTGTTGAGTATGTGTCTGCTCAATTTGTTGCTGCTGGTTATAGATGGGCAAACTGGACAATACTTCACCATCTACGGCACGAAGACTAACGATTAACAGACCTGACGATGACGCGAGTCGTCCAATAAACTTACCAGAGTCTCCAAGTTCATCGTCAGCGCTTCGGCACAGGTCCGACGTTTTGGCCTGCCAGCCAACTCGTCGTCATCGTCGTCGTCGTGCCACCCGTCGTCCATCCTCAGGGGGGACGTGATCCCCAGTGGTTCTGACGGCCCGGTGACGGGCGAATCAAGTGCGGCGTGCATATTGTTAAAAAAATAATTTAAAAACGCTATACTGTTGATATAAAGGTGCTGAACAATAATAAAATGCTTAAAAAAATGAATAAAACTGCGAGACGCCCGAGCGTAAACGTTTAACGAGCGCCCGGCATTATTACGCGCAAATACCCGTGTTACGCAAAAAAGAACACCAAAAGAAATAATCAAAAAAACCTTTAAAACGCGTATATAAAATTTAAAAACCTCCTAAATCGTTTCTGATATATTATTGAATACTAAAACTTAATCTTATGTAAATAGAAACTCTAATAAATGTAAACTCTCGCTTGACCGCGGGTCGTCTCCCCGTAGGAGTCCGTACCGCTACGCACCGATGGGGCTGCGCGATTTCAATGTCTACCTTTGATCCAGCGGTTTACGGCTGAGGTGGATTTGGGTACCTGAAATTAATGTAGTGTGCTGTTTTCCACACCACCACCGAGGTACAGCACATGGCGCGTTTTTTTTATAGTGGGTTCCCCAATAGGCCTAATCCACTTTCATCGGCTCCAGTTTACACTGCCAGACTTACACTGCCGCTTTTATTTTCGCGACGATCTTTTTACGGCACCTCACGTCCCTCAGAAAATATCCTATTTTCCGCTGCTTGGCTACGTCGATAATTGCGTGTTCGGAAATGTTGTTTTTATTGTACCCTGCCCGGATAACCTCCTGCAACAGGATGTCACATCGCCCCTGGAGCACCGCAAAGTCAAACCTCTCCCCGAGCTGGTTGACGTAATGGGAGTCTATCTTCGCAGAGGGGTATTCCCTGCAGACGTCAGACTCTCTTATTCTCGTTAACCAGTCATCACAGTTGAATTTAGCGTAGGTCTGAAGCGGGAACATGTCTTCGAAACTGAAAATTTAATTGATCATATTTTGAATATGCGTCCGTGATTAAGTAAATACGATTGTGTCTACTTACTTTTTGTCGACATAGCTCTTTACCATTGCGGTGTAGTCTACCACCTGTATATTGTTGTTCCGTCTCAGGGCTTCTTTCGCGTCTGGCAGCCGGTAATACTGTCCGGCAGTCCGATCAGAGTGCTGCAACGCCTGGGCAATTTGCCCGATGCACTTGACTACGTCAGAGTATTGGGGCATAGTCCTCGCCTCTTGCGTCTTCCGGCTGAAGAGCTCTTGAGGCTGCTGCTTCGTTGTGCGTTTATATACGAGCTCCAGCTTCTGGTCCAGCAGTTTGATCCGCGTGATCGTTTCCGAACACGGGGATTGATCAAAACTGACTGGGAAGCTGGGGTCCTCGTATACGTATGCACGGATGACATACGAAAACAGCAGCCTGATGTTTTTCAAGTAATTTATAGTTGTGGGATTGGTCTGGCCTAACTCTTCCCGCCTGAAAAACAAAACAAACTCGCCGTTAATAACTCTTATTACTCACTAGTCTACCGGGGAACTTACCTCCTTATATACTCCATATATGGTTGAACATCTGTGGACACCAAGTCCGACCAATGCCTCGGAGGGAACTTTGTGTCCACCAGATGTTGATGGACGTACATCAACACCCTCGAAATATTCGCAATGTAATTGTCAGCCGCCGAAGACTCTTCACCGTGGCTCAATGACAGCGTGTTCATAAACATTAGGATTAGAGTGTGATTCCGTGGAAGCTGTCTATTAAGCCCCGATTCTTGGACGGCCTTTCTGACGGTTCTGTAAAAAAATCAAACGAGAGGTTAAACCACTTTGCGGACCGGAAAAAATTCCGAATCAACGAATCAGTACTCACTGTACGGAAGCTTGGGGGTGGCCTGAATGGTGTCGGGGGTGGCAGAGGTGGAGGCGAGGGCGGTGGCGGCGGAGAGGGAGGCAGAGGCGGCTGCGGGAGCGGAGGACATTCCCATCAAGGCGTGCGGAGCTTTGGGCGCCGAATCTATAGTCCGACATCGGGAGCGTCGGGAAGAACGCTTCGGGAGCATCGTCTTCCACTTGGACGAGGTCGTCCGCGAAAGGATGTGGTGCTACTGTGACGCCGGGAAGGTCCCACGACCCGCCATACACCTTCATCCTTAACATGACCGTGAGTCTGAAACGGAAACAAAAATGATATTAATCGAAATGGTCGACCGACTCATTAGGGTTTTACACAACTCACTTGTGGGCGATGCTCCGGTAGTTTCTGTCATCCCAATACGCCCCGAGCGTCTGCTTGATGGCCGACATCGGGACGACCGAATACAATTTTCTCGACGCAGCCGTGATTTTTTGAACTATGGATTTCAAGTGGACCTTCTTCGGCTTCCTCGGAGACTCTGGATGTTTGTTGAGTATGTGTCTGCTCAATTTGTTGCTGCTGGTTATAGATGGGCAAACTGGACAATACTTCACCATCTACGGCACGAAGACTAACGATTAACAGACCTGACGATGACGCGAGTCGTCCAATAAACTTACCAGAGTCTCCAAGTTCATCGTCAGCGCTTCGGCACAGGTCCGACGTTTTGGCCTGCCAGCCAACTCGTCGTCATCGTCGTCGTCGTGCCACCCGTCGTCCATCCTCAGGGGGGACGTGATCCCCAGTGGTTCTGACGGCCCGGTGACGGGCGAATCAAGTGCGGCGTGCATATTGTTAAAAAAATAATTTAAAAACGCTATACTGTTGATATAAAGGTGCTGAACAATAATAAAATGCTTAAAAAAATGAATAAAACTGCGAGACGCCCGAGCGTAAACGTTTAACGAGCGCCCGGCATTATTACGCGCAAATACCCGTGTTACGCAAAAAAGAACACCAAAAGAAATAATCAAAAAAACCTTTAAAACGCGTATATAAAATTTAAAAACCTCCTAAATCGTTTCTGATATATTATTGAATACTAAAACTTAATCTTATGTAAATAGAAACTCTAATAAATGTAAACTCTCGCTTGACCGCGGGTCGTCTCCCCGTAGGAGTCCGTACCGCTACGCACCGATGGGGCTGCGCGATTTCAATGTCTACCTTTGATCCAGCGGTTTACGGCTGAGGTGGATTTGGGTACCTGAAATTAATGTAGTGTGCTGTTTTCCACACCACCACCGAGGTACAGCACATGGCGCGTTTTTTTTATAGTGGGTTCCCCAATAGGCCTAATCCACTTTCATCGGCTCCAGTTTACACTGCCAGACTTACACTGCCGCTTTTATTTTCGCGACGATCTTTTTACGGCACCTCACGTCCCTCAGAAAATATCCTATTTTCCGCTGCTTGGCTACGTCGATAATTGCGTGTTCGGAAATGTTGTTTTTATTGTACCCTGCCCGGATAACCTCCTGCAACAGGATGTCACATCGCCCCTGGAGCACCGCAAAGTCAAACCTCTCCCCGAGCTGGTTGACGTAATGGGAGTCTATCTTCGCAGAGGGGTATTCCCTGCAGACGTCAGACTCTCTTATTCTCGTTAACCAGTCATCACAGTTGAATTTAGCGTAGGTCTGAAGCGGGAACATGTCTTCGAAACTGAAAATTTAATTGATCATATTTTGAATATGCGTCCGTGATTAAGTAAATACGATTGTGTCTACTTACTTTTTGTCGACATAGCTCTTTACCATTGCGGTGTAGTCTACCACCTGTATATTGTTGTTCCGTCTCAGGGCTTCTTTCGCGTCTGGCAGCCGGTAATACTGTCCGGCAGTCCGATCAGAGTGCTGCAACGCCTGGGCAATTTGCCCGATGCACTTGACTACGTCAGAGTATTGGGGCATAGTCCTCGCCTCTTGCGTCTTCCGGCTGAAGAGCTCTTGAGGCTGCTGCTTCGTTGTGCGTTTATATACGAGCTCCAGCTTCTGGTCCAGCAGTTTGATCCGCGTGATCGTTTCCGAACACGGGGATTGATCAAAACTGACTGGGAAGCTGGGGTCCTCGTATACGTATGCACGGATGACATACGAAAACAGCAGCCTGATGTTTTTCAAGTAATTTATAGTTGTGGGATTGGTCTGGCCTAACTCTTCCCGCCTGAAAAACAAAACAAACTCGCCGTTAATAACTCTTATTACTCACTAGTCTACCGGGGAACTTACCTCCTTATATACTCCATATATGGTTGAACATCTGTGGACACCAAGTCCGACCAATGCCTCGGAGGGAACTTTGTGTCCACCAGATGTTGATGGACGTACATCAACACCCTCGAAATATTCGCAATGTAATTGTCAGCCGCCGAAGACTCTTCACCGTGGCTCAATGACAGCGTGTTCATAAACATTAGGATTAGAGTGTGATTCCGTGGAAGCTGTCTATTAAGCCCCGATTCTTGGACGGCCTTTCTGACGGTTCTGTAAAAAAATCAAACGAGAGGTTAAACCACTTTGCGGACCGGAAAAAAATCCGAATCAACGAATCAGTACTCACTGTACGGAAGCTTGGGGGTGGCCTGAATGGTGTCGGGGGTGGCAGAGGTGGAGGCGAGGGCGGTGGCGGCGGAGAGGGAGGCAGAGGCGGCTGCGGGAGCGGAGGACATTCCCATCAAGGCGTGCGGAGCTTTGGGCGCCGAATTGGCTGGCCATCTATAGTCCGACATCGGGAGCGTCGGGAAGAACGCTTCGGGAGCATCGTCTTCCACTTGGACGAGGTCGTCCGCGAAAGGATGTGGTGCTACTGTGACGCCGGGAAGGTCCCACGACCCGCCATACACCTTCATCCTTAACATGACCGTGAGTCTGAAACGGAAACAAAAATGATATTAATCGAAATGGTCGACCGACTCATTAGGGTTTTACACAACTCACTTGTGGGCGATGCTCCGGTAGTTTCTGTCATCCCAATACGCCCCGAGCGTCTGCTTGATGGCCGACATCGGGACGACCGAATACAATTTTCTCGACGCAGCCGTGATTTTTTGAACTATGGATTTCAAGTGGACCTTCTTCGGCTTCCTCGGAGACTCTGGATGTTTGTTGAGTATGTGTCTGCTCAATTTGTTGCTGCTGGTTATAGATGGGCAAACTGGACAATACTTCACCATCTACGGCACGAAGACTAACGATTAACAGACCTGACGATGACGCGAGTCGTCCAATAAACTTACCAGAGTCTCCAAGTTCATCGTCAGCGCTTCGGCACAGGTCCGACGTTTTGGCCTGCCAGCCAACTCGTCGTCATCGTCGTCGTCGTGCCACCCGTCGTCCATCCTCAGGGGGGACGTGATCCCCAGTGGTTCTGACGGCCCGGTGACGGGCGAATCAGGTGCGGCGTGCATATTGTTAAAAAAATAATTTAAAAACGCTATACTGTTGATATAAAGGTGCTGAACAATAATAAAATGCTTAAAAAAATGAATAAAACTGCGAAACGCCCGAGCGTAAACGTTTAACGCGCGCCCGATATCGGTACGCGCTAATACAGTCGCCAGAATATCCGCTTCAAAAAAAGCCTAAAAAAAATTGAAAAACGGCTAAAAAAATTCATTAAAAAACGCTATACTGTTGATAAATAGGTGCTGAAAAATAATAAAATGCTTAAAAACCGAATAAAAAAAGAGAAACAATTAGCGTAAACGTTTAACGCGCGCCCGGTATCGGTACGCGCTAATACAGGCGGCAGAATATTCGATTAAAAAATACGCCTAAAAAAATTTAAAAAAGGCTATACTATTGATAAAAAGGAGCTGAACAATAATAAAATGCTTAAAAAAATGAATAAAAAAGCGAAACGCCCGAGCGTAAACGTTTGACGCGTGCCCGGCACAAATACGCACTTATAAACGCGGTACTTTATACCCTTCAAAAAACGCCTTAAAAATCGCTTAAAAACCGTTCAAAATTAAATTTAAAAAAGCTATATAGAAGAATTGGGGTGCTCAACAATAATAGAACGCTTAAAAAACCGAATAAAATTAATTTAAAAAAAGCTATATAGAAGAATTGGGGTGCTCAACAATAATAGAACGCTTAAAAAACCGAATAAAATTAAATTAAAAAAAGCTATATAGAAGAATTGGGGTGCTCAACAATAATAGAACGCTTAAAAAACCGAATATAAAAGCGAAACTCCCGAGCGTAAACATTTTACGCGCGCCTGGCATAAATACGCACTAATGAAAGCGGCCCATTATACGCTTCGAAAAACAACTTAAAAAACGATTAAAAAAAATTTTTAAAAAGGTATACTGTTGATAAAGAGGTGAAACACAATAATAAAATTCTTAAAAAAATGAATAAAAAAGCGAAACGCATGAGCGTAAACGTTTAACGCGCGCCCGATATCGGTACGCGCTAATACAGTCGCCAGAATATCCGCTTCAAAAAAAGCCTAAAAAAAATTGAAAAACGGCTAAAAAATTCATTAAAAAACGCTATACTGTTGATAAAAAGGTGCTGAAAAATAATAAAATGCTTAAAAACCGAATAAAAAAAGAGAAACAATTAGCGTAAACGATTAACGCGTGCCCGGTATCAATACGTGCTAATACAGGCGGCAATATATTCGCTTCAAAAAACACCTAAAAAAACGACTTAAAAAACGCTTAAAAAAAATTTAATTATGCTATACTGTTGATAAAGAGGTGCTGCACAATAATAAAACGCTTAAAAAACCGAATACAAAAGTGGAACGCCCGAGCGTAAACGTTTAACGCGCGCCCGGTATCGGTACGTGCTAATACAGGCGGTAATTTTTAGGTATTTAAAGAAATATACTTCTTTATTATCATTATTATCATTGTTATCATTATTATTAATTTTCTTATTATCATCACGGTCGATATCTACAACCGAGATTATCTGTATTTCTGTTATCAACAATATGTTGTTAACGTATTTGTTAATATTATTATTATTATGCACTTGTTGAATATGTTATAATATGATATAAGTATATTTATAATTATATTTAAAGTCAATTGTAAGAATAGGCTAAAGACTTTAAATTGTCGTTTATTTGTTTACAGGTATTTTGTATATAATAAAAATAATCATAATATAATATTCATGCATGTTAATAAAATAAATTTGTTTACAGATCAACACAATTTTGTCTATCTCTTATTGAGTTAATAGCCTATTATAAAACGACAATATTAGTCAAGAAAAATAAAATATGGATAAATTACAATTCGAGTTCATGGCAAAAGCATCATCAGACGGAAAATCGAATATCCTCTGTATAACTTCAAATACTACAGAGAAGAGTAAAACTTTCAGTTTTCCAATAGAGTTACAACCAGCTGCATTGCATAAAAAAATAGAAAAAAACAGATGTATTTAAAAAAGTTAAAAATGCAATAAAAAAAAGACACCAAACCAGGAAAGTCTGGATAAACATGACAGAAGATATAAAAAACATTTACATAGATGATAGTGGAAATATGCAATTTGGTGATTATATTTTAGAAGAAATGTCAGAAACAAAAGTACTTGAGGAGGAAAACACTTTAACTCAAATATTAAAAAAGTTAGTGGAAAAAGATTCTGGTCAACAGAACTTAAAAATATTATCAGAAAAATGTATTATTAAACAATACACATGTGAAAACGCAAATGCAGATCAGTGGATTGAATCATTTCAAAAAGAGTGTGAACGTTTTAATATCACAGAAGATGAGAAGAAAATTGAAACGCTCAGATATTTTTTGGATAAACCCACTTTGGACTGGTACACTTCTATGATGCTAAAAGTAACGATAAAGGCAGATTGGAGTATATGGAAAAGCAAGTTCTGTGAAACATATGTCAACAAAGGATGGAATCCGATTACATATGCACTATCGTTTAAATACATGGAAGGCTCCTTGGTGGATTATGCAGTAAAGAAAGAACGACTTGTGCTAGAAGTAAGGAAAACAATAGATTTGAGAACTCTGATTGATATTATAGCAGTTGGTTTACCAAACTACATACTACATAGAATTGACAGGGAGAGTTTAAAAGAAACAGAAGATTTGTTTAATGAACTGAATAAATATGAGTATTTAACAAGGAATAAAAATTTTAAGGTAGGAAAGAATACAATTAAATCAAATTATGAGGAAACAGTAAATGTAAAAGAACCATGTAAAACCTGTAAAAAATTAAATAAAGGTACCCGTTTCCACCCAGAAGAGAAAAGTTGGTTTAAAATAAAAGAGGATGAAAAATATAAAAAGTATCCTATCAGACAAGTAAATACTTCTATAATTGAAGCTGATTTGATTGAAGAGAACCAAAAAAAAACGAATAATCACACCATTAATCAAAATAAAACTACTATTGAATGATACTTTAGAAACATTTGGAATATACGACTCGGGTTCAAATGTTTCTATAATTAATTCAAAGTTAATTAAAATAAAAAAAAAATATAAAAAATGTAAATAACAAAAATTTGCTAACGATTAATGGTGTGGAAAAAACAAAAGGCATAGTAAACATTAAAATTAAAATTTTTAATATTGAGAAACAAATTGAAGTATACATAATTGATGAAGAAAATTTTGAAAATGATTTTTTAATTGGATTGGATATAATTAAACAATTTAAATTGATACAGAATGAAGAATTGCAAATTACACAGAAAAAAACAGATATGCAAGAAAAAAAAGATAGTGTAGAAGAAATTTCTACAGAAATAAAAGCAAACCTTAAGTTATCAGATAAAGATTATACAAATAAGGACACTACAAAACAATCAATAAACTTTAATGAACATGTAGATGAAAACAATTTTGAAATAAAAATAGACCATTTACACCTACAAGAGAAAACTGAGATACTTCGGTTACTAGAGAAATATAAATCAATTTTTGCAAAGAATAAATATGACATTGGAACAGTAAAGGAATATGAGACTCACATCGACCTATTGTTGGACAAATATTGCTGTAAAAGGCCATATAGATGCACCATAGAAGATAAAAAAGAAATAGAAGATCAAGTATCAAAGTTGTTGGAAAAAAAATTGATAGAAGAATCATATAGTCCTTTTGCAGCACCGGTAACACTAGCCTTCAAAAAAGAAGAAAATAGAAGATCAAGACTCTGCATTGATTTTAGGGATTTAAATAAAATAGTAGTACCACAGGCCCAGCCTTTCCCATTAATTGAAGACTTGATGGTAAAAACAAGGAATTGCAATTATTTCACAACATTAGACATAAATTCAGCTTTCTGGTCGATTCCATTACGAATTGAAGATAGGAAGAAAACAGGCTTTGTAACACAAGAAGGTCACTTCCAATGGACCTGCCTACCATTTGGCCTAAAGACTTCACCGGCAATTTTTCAAAGAATATTAAGCAACATCTTAAGAAAGTATAAACTTTCTAATTTTGCAGTGAACTATATAGATGATATTTTAATATTTTCTAAAACTTTCTCTGAACATATCAATTATTTAAATCAATTATTAAAAGCAATAATGAAAGAAGGTTTCAGATTGAAATTTACTAAATGTAAGTTTGCAACAAACTCAGTGAGGTATTTGGGCCATATCATTCAAAATAATACAATAAGACCGGTTAAGGACAATTTGATCTCTATTAAAAATTTTCCTACACCAAAAACAAAAAAAAAATATTAGACAATTTTTGGGAAAGATTAACTTCTATAATGAATATATAATAAAGAGTGCCATCATTTTAGATCCACTACATAATCTATTAAGGAAAGATCAAAGCTTTATATGGTCAGACAAATGTCAAAACTCATTTAAAACAGTAAAAGACCTATTATGTTCTCAGCCAATTTTGGAAATATTTGATAGGGATTTATCAATAAATATCTATACAGATGCATCTATACAAGGTGTTGGAGCGATTCTAAAACAGATACAAACAGATGGTAAAGAAAAACCAGTAGCTTATTTCTCAAAGAAACTAAATGAAAGACAAAAAAGGAAAAAGGCAATATATTTGGAATGCTTAGCAATTAAAGAAGCGGTTAAATATTGGCAATATTGGCTAATTGGAAAATCATTTACTGTATACTCGGATCACAAACCCTTAGAAAATTTAAGTATAAAATCTAGGACAGATGAAGAACTAGGAGATTTAAGTTATTATCTATCACAATATGATTTTAAAATAAAATATGCACCAGGGAAGGAGAACCTAGAAGCGGACTGTCTGAGTAGAAACCCGGTATTGGAGGCAAACGAAAATGAGGAGGAACAGCTGAAAATTGTAAACTTAATAAAGGTAGAGGATATTATAACAGACCAAGAAAAAAATAAAGAAGTACAACAACTAAAGAACAGGTTAGTATCAAACCACAATATATATTATAAAAGAAAAAAAATAATTTTATCAGAAAAATTTTGTATAGAATTTATTAAGAATGTGCACAAAAACATGTGTCATATAGGAATCAACCAAATGCAAAAAAAAATTAATCCATTTTATACATCAAAAAATCTAACAAAGAATATAAAAAGAGTATGTAAAAGTTGTACAGTGTGCATAAAAAATAAATCAAGAGGACAAGACAAAATAGGGTTAATGTCAGACTTAGGTCCAGCTACAAAGCCGTTTGAAATAGTTTCCATTGACACAATTGGAGGGTTTGGAGGCTCACGTTCTACAAAAAAATATTTACATCTTCTAGTAGATCACTTCACACGATATGCGCACATTATAACATCAACGACCCAAAATGCAAATGATTTTATTAAACTAATAAAAAATATCACAGAGAAAAAAAATATAGGTATGATTCTTACAGATCAATACCCAGGAATAAATTCAAAAGAATTTAAACAATTCCTAGAGGAAGAGGATATACCAATAATTTTCACTGCAGTCAATACACCATTCTCTAATGGTTTGAATGAACGATTGAACCAGACGCTTGTGAATAAAATCAGATGTGTAATAAATGAAAAGGAGAAAAAGATGGCTTGGACAACAATTGCACATGATTGTGTGAAAAAATATAATGAAACTGAACACTCAGTCACAGGATTTGCACCAGAATATTTATTGAATGGTACTGATGTCACAATGTTACCAATGGAGTTAAAACAAGAATACCCAAAACATAATTTGATACAAGACAGAGAAACAGCATTAAAAAACACAGTAAAGTCACATAATTATAATAAGAAATTGTTTGATATAAATAGAAAACACTATGAATTTAACATAGGAGATAAAGTGTTTGTGGAAAATGGCAATAAATTAAACAGAAAAAAACTAGACGAGTTGAAAATTGGACCATATGAAATCACAGAGAAGTTGTCAAATTTAATATACAGAGTAAACACTGATCAAAAAAAAAAAAAAAAATCAGGATCAAATATATATCACATCACAAAACTAATCCCAGCTCCAGCAGTTGAAGATGATGGTTATGAAGAGGAAGAGCCTAGGTACGATCCGGTAGATCGAGAAGACGTAGCGTTTGATGAAAATTTGTTTGAAAATTTTCTTCATCAGGTGGAGGAGAATATGTAAAGAAATATACTTCTTTATTATCATTATTATCATTGTTATCATTATTATTAATTTTCTTATTATCATCACGGTCGATATCTACAACCGAGATTATCTGTATTTCTGTTATCAACAATATGTTGTTAACGTATTTGTTAATATTATTATTATTATGCATTTGTTGAATATGTTATAATATGATATAAGTTATTATGTATAGTACTATTATATATTATTATAATTATATTTAAAGTCAATTGTAAGAATAGGCTAAAGACTTTAAATTGTCGTTTATTTGTTTACAGGTATTTTGTATATAATAAAAATAATCATAATATAATATTTATGCATGTTAATAAAATAAATTTGTTTACAGATCAACACAATTTTGTCTATCTCTTATTGAGTTAATAGCCTATTATATATATAATCAAGGGCAATTAAATATTTTTAACTTTACTAATCCTAATAAATATATAATTACAAACTAGAGGTAGGTACTTACTAAAGTGCGACATTTCCACAGCCCATACAACTTGTCCCTAGTGAACTGCCAAGAACGGTCTGATGTTGCAAGTTGTAATGCTTGGGCTATTTTATGGACACTTTTCCAAGATTCCACTTTTTCATCATTTGGTGTTGTTTTAAAATTACCAAACAATACACTTTTTCTTTGCCGTATAGCATCCAATAGCGTAAGTTTATTTTGGGTTTTAATTTTCATCATTTTACAAAATATATTATTCACTGACAATTAATTGAAACTTATAACTTATAAGAAAAGAAACACAGACTACAGAAGTTTTTGGTTTTAACTTTTAAGCCGACTAAAAAATGATAAGTGATAACAGCTGTTTAACAATATGATAACAAAATGAAAAGTGGTAACTCAATTATCATAATGTTACCATCATTTGCAAAGTCTATTAATTAATTTTTATTTTTTATGTGGAATGAAAAGATTTCGCACTTTGCAAATTTTGAAAAGTGAAAAGTTGCAAAATGTGTTGGTGGAATAGGCCCTTGATGTCTAAACCTAAGAAAAACATGGAAACGTTTACCACACCAATATGATGTTAAGCGCGTTACACACTACGTGATTTGGTCGGGCCGACAGGATAATTTGGTCAGATCAGACGTTACATCAGGTCGTGTGTAGACGTGTCGTCTGATTTTAATCCTGTCGGGTCTTGTCAGGTGTCCACACCATCTGTTCGCCCGACCGACCGACCAAATCTTATAGTGTGTAGCACTGTTGGGCGGATTTTAGTTGGTTTATTAAGGTTAACTTAATAACACGTCTGTACCTAGTACCTACTTCCAGTTTAATTTAAAATATTATATAATTTATATAAATAAATAAATCATTGTTAAGACGTTTTAGTGTTTTAACATTTTAAAATTGTTTGGAAACTTTACACGAATGACCAAAACACATTTTTTTTCGTTATTAAAAATGATCGAGCACGAAATTGGAAAACAGAATACCAAATTTAGAGAGGCAGTACATAAATCCAGGGGCCCCTCCTAGAGCTTGGGCCCCCAATTTTTTTTTCAATGTAACAATTGAATGCGAAACAAACTACATATTTAATGTATAACCATTTTTTTTTCATTTAGGTATTAGCTGAACAAATATTTAATTAATCCGTTTAAACATATGTAAGCTATTACCTAGCGACTAAGCTTTGACCAACCCGTTTTAGATAAACCATATGAAATCGAGAACCAATTAGTTATTATTATCATTTAAATATTCATAATACAAAATAACATAACATAATTATTACCAAAATACTACATAGATAATCAAGCTTTTATTTAATTAAAAGTTAAAATCTTATAAAATTAATGATTTAATCAATACACTAGTTTTTTGTGCAAAAATATCTACTACTAATGTCCGGTTGCACAAACGACCAATAACTACTTATCGAACCATTAACTAGGTTATCGAATCAATAACATTTTGGCAGGTTGCACAAAGAATCTATAAGTTTTATCAATCCAATAAATATTGTGTTATCGGTTCGATAAGTTATAGGCCCGATTTTGGTTCGATAAATTTGTTAAACACACGATTATAAAGAACAGGTTATGCGTCGGAAGGAATATTTTCGGTCAGATTTTGTTACGGCGGTGTAGTTCTTAAAACCGCCGAGCGCTGCAAGTCATCCGTGTTACATATTAACGTTTTCCTATACAAACCATGTTAAAACTAATTTTTTAATTAATAAATTGTTAAACCTTTTGTTTTAATATTAGCGTTTTATTCATAAGCAATTCATAGACCTGCATTTTGGGTGTAGCCTACTGTATTTTTAGACCTCCCTTTTTTTTATTTCGGCCCTACTAACAATGTATACAAACTTTGATATTACTTGTAGCACTTTGGACAAAGTGAACCACGGCACCACGCTTAATTTCATACATCGGAATTCGCGTCAATCTTATAAAATTAAAATTCAATTATAACTAAGAAAAATGTCAGTGTATGTGACATCATCAAATTTTGACAGTTCTGATGAAGAATATGTTTTGGAAGTTGTTTTAAATCTACCGAGGCCAAGAAGATATCGGGACCGTTTCAATCCACTCGAAGAATATGATGAATATGATTTCCAAAACAGATTTAGGTAGGTCATAGGCGTGCGCACGGGGCGAGCCGGTCGAGCCCCGGCTCGACCGGAATCTTTTTAGGGGCATAGTAAATTTGTCTATATTTTTATAATAATATGTTTGAAAATTTTATTTGTTGTGAAAGTGAAATAAAATAACAACTATTTGTGTCTATCTCTACATAAATTTCCGTTTGAAATAAACTTAAACATGTCAAGTCAACGAAGTGGTTGTGAAAACAGAAAACGTAAAGCTCGTAAAGAAGCAGAACTGTTGTATGTTAAATATTAAAAGCAAATGTTCATATGATTGATTATTTTACATCATGCACATCCAATTTTAAAAGTTGTAAGTAATGGTATATAATAGGTACCTACCTAATAGATATATTATATTAATTATTAATGTAAGAAATGAAATAAAAAAATATGTCACTGTCAAAGTGTTGGGGCACTAATTCTACCAGGCTCGACCGGAAATTGAAGTCTGCGCACGCCTATGAGGTAGGTACTTTTGATTCTTTTAAGTGGTTCATAATTTTAACTTACTTTATAATTGTAAATATTTTATACATAATAAATATGTTAAAATTATGAATTTAATATTATATAAATATGATAATAAATTTATATAAATATTATTTAACATTTCTTATTGAAAACTTCATTTTTAGGC